TACAGCAGCCACGTGTAGTGTAGTTAGGTAACAGAGTAGATGGGTGCAGTGTAGTTGTGTGCAGTGCAGTCGGTACTCACTCGAGGCGCACGACGTGGTGCGGCGCGTACGAGTGGTGCAGGCGCACGGATACAGCGCGCAGCACGGCGTCCGCGCCGCGCACGTACAGCAGCCACGTGTAGTGTAGTTAGGTAACAGAGTAGATGGGTGCAGTGTAGTTGTGTGCAGTGCAGTCGGTACTCACTCGAGGCGCACGACGTGGTGCGGCGCGTACGAGTGGTGCAGGCGCACGGATACAGCGCGCAGCACGGCGTCCGCGCCGCGCACGTACAGCAGCCACGTGTAGTGTAGTTAGGTAACAGAGTAGATGGGTGCAGTGTAGTTGTGTGCAGTGCAGTCGGTACTCACTCGAGGCGCACGACGTGGTGCGGCGCGTACGAGTGGTGCAGGCGCACGGATACAGCGCGCAGCACGGCGTCCGCGCCGCGCACGTACAGCAGCCACGTGTAGTGTAGTTAGGTAACAGAGTAGATGGGTGCAGTGTAGTTGTGTGCAGTGCAGTCGGTACTCACTCGAGGCGCACGACGTGGTGCGGCGCGTACGAGTGGTGCAGGCGCACGGATACAGCGCGCAGCACGGCGTCCGCGCCGCGCACGTACAGCAGCCACGTGTAGTGTAGTTAGGTAACAGAGTAGATGGGTGCAGTGTAGTTGTGTGCAGTGCAGTCGGTACTCACTCGAGGCGCACGACGTGGTGCGGCGCGTACGAGTGGTGCAGGCGCACGGATACAGCGCGCAGCACGGCGTCCGCGCCGCGCACGTACAGCAGCCACGTGTAGTGTAGTTAGGTAACAGAGTAGATGGGTGCAGTGTAGTTGTGTGCAGTGCAGTCGGTACTCACTCGAGGCGCACGACGTGGTGCGGCGCGTACGAGTGGTGCAGGCGCACGGATACAGCGCGCAGCACGGCGTCCGCGCCGCGCACGTACAGCAGCCACGTGTAGTGTAGTTAGGTAACAGAGTAGATGGGTGCAGTGTAGTTGTGTGCAGTGCAGTCGGTACTCACTCGAGGCGCACGACGTGGTGCGGCGCGTACGAGTGGTGCAGGCGCACGGATACAGCGCGCAGCACGGCGTCCGCGCCGCGCACGTACAGCAGCCACGTGTAGTGTAGTTAGGTAACAGAGTAGATGGGTGCAGTGTAGTTGTGTGCAGTGCAGTCGGTACTCACTCGAGGCGCACGACGTGGTGCGGCGCGTACGAGTGGTGCAGGCGCACGGATACAGCGCGCAGCACGGCGTCCGCGCCGCGCACGTACAGCAGCCACGTGTAGTGTAGTTAGGTAACAGAGTAGATGGGTGCAGTGTAGTTGTGTGCAGTGCAGTCGGTACTCACTCGAGGCGCACGACGTGGTGCGGCGCGTACGAGTGGTGCAGGCGCACGGATACAGCGCGCAGCACGGCGTCCGCGCCGCGCACGTACAGCAGCCACGTGTAGTGTAGTTAGGTAACAGAGTAGATGGGTGCAGTGTAGTTGTGTGCAGTGCAGTCGGTACTCACTCGAGGCGCACGACGTGGTGCGGCGCGTACGAGTGGTGCAGGCGCACGGATACAGCGCGCAGCACGGCGTCCGCGCCGCGCACGTACAGCAGCCACGTGTAGTGTAGTTAGGTAACAGAGTAGATGGGTGCAGTGTAGTTGTGTGCAGTGCAGTCGGTACTCACTCGAGGCGCACGACGTGGTGCGGCGCGTACGAGTGGTGCAGGCGCACGGATACAGCGCGCAGCACGGCGTCCGCGCCGCGCACGTACAGCAGCCACGTGTAGTGTAGTTAGGTAACAGAGTAGATGGGTGCAGTGTAGTTGTGTGCAGTGCAGTCGGTACTCACTCGAGGCGCACGACGTGGTGCGGCGCGTACGAGTGGTGCAGGCGCACGGATACAGCGCGCAGCACGGCGTCCGCGCCGCGCACGTACAGCAGCCACGTGTAGTGTAGTTAGGTAACAGAGTAGATGGGTGCAGTGTAGTTGTGTGCAGTGCAGTCGGTACTCACTCGAGGCGCACGACGTGGTGCGGCGCGTACGAGTGGTGCAGGCGCACGGATACAGCGCGCAGCACGGCGTCCGCGCCGCGCACGTACAGCAGCCACGTGTAGTGTAGTTAGGTAACAGAGTAGATGGGTGCAGTGTAGTTGTGTGCAGTGCAGTCGGTACTCACTCGAGGCGCACGACGTGGTGCGGCGCGTACGAGTGGTGCAGGCGCACGGATACAGCGCGCAGCACGGCGTCCGCGCCGCGCACGTACAGCAGCCACGTGTAGTGTAGTTAGGTAACAGAGTAGATGGGTGCAGTGTAGTTGTGTGCAGTGCAGTCGGTACTCACTCGAGGCGCACGACGTGGTGCGGCGCGTACGAGTGGTGCAGGCGCACGGATACAGCGCGCAGCACGGCGTCCGCGCCGCGCACGTACAGCAGCCACGTGTAGTGTAGTTAGGTAACAGAGTAGATGGGTGCAGTGTAGTTGTGTGCAGTGCAGTCGGTACTCACTCGAGGCGCACGACGTGGTGCGGCGCGTACGAGTGGTGCAGGCGCACGGATACAGCGCGCAGCACGGCGTCCGCGCCGCGCACGTACAGCAGCCACGTGTAGTGTAGTTAGGTAACAGAGTAGATGGGTGCAGTGTAGTTGTGTGCAGTGCAGTCGGTACTCACTCGAGGCGCACGACGTGGTGCGGCGCGTACGAGTGGTGCAGGCGCACGGATACAGCGCGCAGCACGGCGTCCGCGCCGCGCACGTACAGCAGCCACGTGTAGTGTAGTTAGGTAACAGAGTAGATGGGTGCAGTGTAGTTGTGTGCAGTGCAGTCGGTACTCACTCGAGGCGCACGACGTGGTGCGGCGCGTACGAGTGGTGCAGGCGCACGGATACAGCGCGCAGCACGGCGTCCGCGCCGCGCACGTACAGCAGCCACGTGTAGTGTAGTTAGGTAACAGAGTAGATGGGTGCAGTGTAGTTGTGTGCAGTGCAGTCGGTACTCACTCGAGGCGCACGACGTGGTGCGGCGCGTACGAGTGGTGCAGGCGCACGGATACAGCGCGCAGCACGGCGTCCGCGCCGCGCACGTACAGCAGCCACGTGTAGTGTAGTTAGGTAACAGAGTAGATGGGTGCAGTGTAGTTGTGTGCAGTGCAGTCGGTACTCACTCGAGGCGCACGACGTGGTGCGGCGCGTACGAGTGGTGCAGGCGCACGGATACAGCGCGCAGCACGGCGTCCGCGCCGCGCACGTACAGCAGCCACGTGTAGTGTAGTTAGGTAACAGAGTAGATGGGTGCAGTGTAGTTGTGTGCAGTGCAGTCGGTACTCACTCGAGGCGCACGACGTGGTGCGGCGCGTACGAGTGGTGCAGGCGCACGGATACAGCGCGCAGCACGGCGTCCGCGCCGCGCACGTACAGCAGCCACGTGTAGTGTAGTTAGGTAACAGAGTAGATGGGTGCAGTGTAGTTGTGTGCAGTGCAGTCGGTACTCACTCGAGGCGCACGACGTGGTGCGGCGCGTACGAGTGGTGCAGGCGCACGGATACAGCGCGCAGCACGGCGTCCGCGCCGCGCACGTACAGCAGCCACGTGTAGTGTAGTTAGGTAACAGAGTAGATGGGTGCAGTGTAGTTGTGTGCAGTGCAGTCGGTACTCACTCGAGGCGCACGACGTGGTGCGGCGCGTACGAGTGGTGCAGGCGCACGGATACAGCGCGCAGCACGGCGTCCGCGCCGCGCACGTACAGCAGCCACGTGTAGTGTAGTTAGGTAACAGAGTAGATGGGTGCAGTGTAGTTGTGTGCAGTGCAGTCGGTACTCACTCGAGGCGCACGACGTGGTGCGGCGCGTACGAGTGGTGCAGGCGCACGGATACAGCGCGCAGCACGGCGTCCGCGCCGCGCACGTACAGCAGCCACGTGTAGTGTAGTTAGGTAACAGAGTAGATGGGTGCAGTGTAGTTGTGTGCAGTGCAGTCGGTACTCACTCGAGGCGCACGACGTGGTGCGGCGCGTACGAGTGGTGCAGGCGCACGGATACAGCGCGCAGCACGGCGTCCGCGCCGCGCACGTACAGCAGCCACGTGTAGTGTAGTTAGGTAACAGAGTAGATGGGTGCAGTGTAGTTGTGTGCAGTGCAGTCGGTACTCACTCGAGGCGCACGACGTGGTGCGGCGCGTACGAGTGGTGCAGGCGCACGGATACAGCGCGCAGCACGGCGTCCGCGCCGCGCACGTACAGCAGCCACGTGTAGTGTAGTTAGGTAACAGAGTAGATGGGTGCAGTGTAGTTGTGTGCAGTGCAGTCGGTACTCACTCGAGGCGCCCGACGTGGTGCGGCGCGTACGAGTGGTGCAGGCGCACGGATACAGCGCGCAGCACGGCGTCCGCGCCGCGCACGTACAGCAGCCACGTGTAGTGTAGTTAGGTAACAGAGTAGATGGGTGCAGTGTAGTTGTGTGCAGTGCAGTCGGTACTCACTCGAGGCGCACGACGTGGTGCGGCGCGTACGAGTGGTGCAGGCGCACGGATACAGCGCGCAGCACGGCGTCCGCGCCGCGCACGTACAGCAGCCACGTGTAGTGTAGTTAGGTAACAGAGTAGATGGGTGCAGTGTAGTTGTGTGCAGTGCAGTCGGTACTCACTCGAGGCGCACGACGTGGTGCGGCGCGTACGAGTGGTGCAGGCGCACGGATACAGCGCGCAGCACGGCGTCCGCGCCGCGCACGTACAGCAGCCACGTGTAGTGTAGTTAGGTAACAGAGTAGATGGGTGCAGTGTAGTTGTGTGCAGTGCAGTCGGTACTCACTCGAGGCGCACGACGTGGTGCGGCGCGTACGAGTGGTGCAGGCGCACGGATACAGCGCGCAGCACGGCGTCCGCGCCGCGCACGTACAGCAGCCACGTGTAGTGTAGTTAGGTAACAGAGTAGATGGGTGCAGTGTAGTTGTGTGCAGTGCAGTCGGTACTCACTCGAGGCGCACGACGTGGTGCGGCGCGTACGAGTGGTGCAGGCGCACGGATACAGCGCGCAGCACGGCGTCCGCGCCGCGCACGTACAGCAGCCACGTGTGCGTAGACCGGTCTGCGCGGGACCCCCCTGGCGCATACTTCGACGTGTTGCCTGCGAGCAACCGAACTTTTACATATACGACAATAGCACAAACAATTACTTTCAATAATTTTTGAAAGGGCAACGAAACCCAATGGGCCAGCAGCTTGTCGACTTCATGGAGAAAAAGGGACTCTTTATGATGAACTCTTTTTTCCAGAAGCGGCCCCACAGGAAGTTGACCTGGTCGAGACACGACGGTTCGACAAAAAAATGAAATTGACTTCATTATGACGACCAGACGACAACTGTTCAGTGATCGCGAGGGTGAAAACCGGCAGCGATCACCGAATGGTGAGAGACACGCTGAACCTAAGCGTTAAGTTGGAGAGGTTACGTCTAATGCTTATACGTCTAACGCTTGCCGCCGCGTTTGGCACTATAGGTCAGCCGGTTGGAACTACCCTTGGAGACGGGTTTGCTTCTCGCCGGAAGATCCCAGCATTGTTGCCGATTCTGTTGCTGATATGGTACTTCAGAGTATGGAACTTTTTATTCCACCTCTGTGGTGCCCATCGTAGGCAGATCCCAGCCAAGGTTTGGTCGCTCCTGTAAAATAGCATCACGCTATAAGCAGGAGTGCTACCGGGCCTGGGCTGACACATCAACGTCTAGGGATGTAAACACCAGCGCTCTTAAAAAGAAGTATAATGCCGCCTCCAGGTCCTTCAAAAGCGTCATTGCCAAGGCAAGGTCTGAGCACATCGGCAGAATTGGCGAGCATCTAGTTCGCCTTCCTTCGGGAACCCGTGCATTCTGGTCTCTCGCCAAGGCTGTCCAAGGGAACTTCTGTCAGCCATCTCTTCCATCTCTGCACAGAGAGGACGACTCACTGGCCCATGCCGCAAGGAAGAAAGCCGATCTGTTAAGCTCTCTCTTTGCGTTCAACTCGACTCTAGATGACGGAAGAAACACACCACCGACCATCCCGCGGTGTGAGTGCTCCATGCCAGATGTGCGGTTTACACAGCGCTCGGTTCGCAAAGCACTCTTCTCCTTGGACGTCAACAAGTCGAGTGGGCCTGATGGAGTCCCTCCGATTGTGCTGAAGACGTGTGCTCCGGAGTTGGCACTGGTTTCAACGCGTCTTTTCCGGTACTCCTACTCCCAAGGCGTAGTCCCGAATTCCTGGAAGACAGCTCTGGTCCACCCGATCCATAAAAAAGGCGACCGCTCAGACCCGTCCAACTACAGGCCTATCGCCATCACCTCCTTGTTCTTCAAAATAATGGAATCCTTTATAAACTGCCAGCTCATGAGGTTCCTTGAGGATCACCAGCTGATTAGTCATCGCCAGTACGGCCTGCGATCGGGTCTGGCACAAAGCGCTTCTTTCGAAGCTTCCTTCCTATGGACTTCCCGAGAAATTGTGCACATGGATCACCAGTTTCCTTGCTGATCAGAGCATCAAGGTCATAGTAGACGGTGCATGCTCTAATTTCAAGCCTATCAACGCTGGTGTTCCACAAGGCTGCGTGCTATCACCAACGATGTTTCTCCTGCATATCAATGATATGTCGCAAACTGGTAACATTCATTGCTATGCAGACGATAGCACTGGTGATGCCTTATATACCGGCCGTGCCAATATTTCTCGGGAAAACGTCGCCGAGTACCGGGACAAACTTGTGTCTGAAGTAGAGTATTTGTTGAACAAAGTCTCGGATTGGGGGCGACTAAATCTAGTCCAGTTCAATCCCCAGAAGACACAAGTTTGCGCGTTTACCGCTAAAAAGAACCCCTTTGTCGTATCTCCTCAGTTTCAAGGCGTCGACATATCGAATAGTGTGCAGTTTCGTGGTCACTTGGAAGGTAAGGCCCAATTGGCCTCTGAAAAGCTTGGCGTGCTCAGCAGAGCGTGACAGTATTTCATGCCGGCACATCACTTGCAACTTTACAAAGCGCAAGTTCGGGTTCACATGGAATACTGTTTTCATCTCTGGGCCGGAGCACCCCAGTGCCAGCTCCTTCCACTTGGCCGCATCCAGCGCAGAGCGTTTCGAATCGTCGACGACCGAGTCCTTTCTGATCGGCTCGATACACTGGCACTACGTAGAGATGTTGCATCCCTTTGCATTTTCTATTGAATTTACCACGGGAAGTGTTTGTTGAATTGTTCGGCTTAATTAAAAAAAATACAAATGTGCGTTCAGCTCACATTGGAGAAGCGACTACGGGCATTATACCTACGATATCTGCGATTATTAAGTACCTCACCGAAGAAATTTAGCGATTTTGGACGACGTTATTGTATACTTGCTGTGTGTGTGAAAGAATACATCCATTTTTCCTCCTAATCGCTATTTTCAGCCCGAACGTAATAATATAAAGAGAATATAGGGCCAACTGGTGTGTCTTTAGCAACATTACAAAGGTGACAAACCTTACACTCAAGGCGCTAGATGACATAAATGGCATTAATTCCTGCCTAAAATAAAAATAACTGGCCTTGTAACACATAAAGAGAATATAATCATACCTATAATAATCCTATACCGATGTTTCATTTTGTTTCTGGTCGCTTCGTCCAATGTGACCACATTGACAACCTTTGGATCCAGATGTCGCGGTATCTTCTTAGGTTTTTCCGATTTATCAGGCTCATCGGGAGATTGTGGAGCAGAATCCGATGGTTTCTGCGTTTCCGGTCGGAGTGATTTTGTGGAGTCAGCTGCCACTGTATAGTTGCGGGTCTGAAGCATGGCCTAAAAAGATTAAGACTCAATTAAAAGAACTATAATTTAACTGATTTCATTATAAAGCAAATAGAAGTATTTATACATATACATATATTACTAGACAGGCACTACGGCACTTATACATTGCGCACTAAGTTACGATTAATTCTCCGTAACTTCTATAGTCAAACGCGAGTAGGTATGAAGAATATATAGTTCTTTGTTTTGTAAACCGCGAAGTAGGCTTGGGCAAAAAATATCGATATTTTCTCATAAAGTTATTTTAGAGTATCGAATTTGTATCAACTTCGATATATTTTAAAATGTTGTATATTAATGGACAAAACATGAAACAACAGAACGAGTTTTTTTTTCGTAGTCCAACCGGTAGTGATATTAAATTTTGGGCATTATCCCTACATCATGCAAATAATCGGTATTTATCACGCGATATATATCGGATACTGTTTAAAAATATCGGTTCGATATACATCGATATATTTTCTTCCCTTGCCCATACCTACCGCAAAGGATGTTTTCGACAATCTAACACTGATTTTGTTTAGTGTCAACGTGATTTGAATTTGATTTAAGATAAGTATGTAACTTTATTTCGTATTTGCCCAAAAAAAGTAAGCATCGTAGATGAAAATACAACTGCGTGGCATATTTACCGTGCCAACTACCTGCACGCGCGGTTGACAGCTGCGACACAGTATTTTTTTTCTGAATTGCCAGTCTAGCCGTACACATAGAAGTCCTTGTGATAAACATATTTATTCTCATGTTAGTGATGACCGACGAATGAGAAAAAGGTTTTAAAATAAAATTTGGGGTAATTATAACTTTTTAAATATTTTACGTGATAGAGCCACGCTGCAGCTAAATTTGGTTGCAGCACGAATACCTATTCGTGCCCATTCGTACCACACGTGATACGTGTTTGATTTTAAGATGAACGGGGAATTAGTTGCGTTGAAGTTAGTTAAATGTACAATAAAGTTGATAGACTGAAATAGTGACATGAAGAAAGAAGTTGTCACTTGGTGACGCCTGCTGGAGTGATGCAGCATTGTGGGGCAGCATGGGACCAGGCCGCTGCCCGGTTACCTCAGCTGGGCTCGGTCACATAAATATACACACCACTAAACACCACTTTACATGCACCTACAACTACCTACGGCCTGACCGAGCCTTGGTGCGGTCTTAGCTTCGGATCCAGGTACGTAATATTTATTTACCTAGCCTTCTCCCTATTGTGTAGTATGATAGGTCAATTGTCCATAAGGCCATTTGGGCCCGAACCCTCGGCTGCCCGTCGAGGAGGCTACTATGGGCCCTACCCAAAGCGACCTTTGCAGGGGCAGCTGGGGGCCGTAACAGTTATAAAAGGATGATCTTTCAGTTCCTCGAGCCCTCAAGAACAAAACTATCATTAGGCAGAAAGAGACAAATGAGTGTTGCTTACAGAATAATCCTTTCTGGCCTTAAGCCTCGGCTCCCTTATTTTGAATATCTCTTTGAGGTCCACTGACTTTTTACCCAGCAGCTTTCGCACAGACGGATGTATTTGGCGCTGTCCATCACGTAAAAGTGTTGACACCTGAGAAAATGAAAAGGGGATTAAACATTAATAAATTATTTTGCATGATAGTATTTAAATGTAATTAGCCATTGTAATATAGAGGTTAAGTGCTCGTAATAAATTTCACAGTATATGAGGAACCTGACTTCGACTCCCAAAAATACCTCCAAATTTTTAATGCCCTTTACGTGCTTTAATTACCAGTGGTTCTTATATCGTTTTCCATTCTTTATTAGAGCATGTAATGCCGCAGTATATTTTCAATACCGCAATATTGCGGTATCGTAACTTGTAATATCAAAATTTGCGATATTGCGGAATTTAAAAATCCTTTAATGGCGGTTTAACTAAAACAATAACATGAGTAAAAAATCTTTAACGGGGGTTAAATTAAAACACTAACATGAGATAACTACAATTAATCACACATACAACCCTAATCTTAATTTTTACCTTCGAAATGTTTATGTAAAAAGCAAAGCATATCCACTGTCTCATCATTTAAAGAACTTCTAATTTTATTACATACGTATCCAGCAGCCGAAAATGCTCTCTCAGCTTCTACACTTGTTGGTGGAATGCTTATCAGATAGTTATACACAGTCTCTAGATATTTAACCATTGTTACTCCGGTTTCATACCGGGTTCATTTTTAATACTGCGAAATTTGCACCTGTAATCTCACTTTTGCGGTACTGAAATACAGCGCGAAATTCGTGAAATTGCGGTAACAATATAACGGTATTGCATGCCTATTCTTTATATACAGTAGAACCTCGATGAGATAAAGACCAAGGGAAACGTAAAATAATTAGAGTTATTGAGGTTTTTACTCACTAATGGTTTAAGTTAAGGAGTTTTTATTGGTTTATGTACTTACACAGGTTCGTTTATGAGCTTTGTTTAGGAATTATATACCTAGATAGACGAGCTAGGTTAAATGCAAATGAAACTTTTAAATGTTAATACATATGTACATACATACTTTATTTTAGGTTTAAAGATACATTTAATCAAGTTTATTTTATTCTACATAAAAAGTCGGCATTTTTTTAAAAATATATTAGTATTGCCAAATTCCCGAATAAAACTAAACAGTTCTAGCACATTAAGTTCTTCCATAAAATTATATAATAAACTACCTGACATATTAAAAAATGAAAATAATGACATCATATTTACAAAAGAATTAAAACAGTATCTAACTACTAAATGTTACTATAGTACTAATGAATATTTTATAAATAATACTTATATAGGTTTTACAAAATGATCACTAATTTAAATTGAATTCTATCTCAATAAATCTCAATGACATTCTTATAAATAGTTAAATAGGCTTCCTCTCTCCTAGCCCCTAAATTGCGTGCCCAACAGGGTCCATAAACACTGGTCGCACATTATTTTATAACATCTTGTGTACATTATGGTTCAGCAATAAATGTTGGAGTTTGAGTTTGAAAAGGATGCAAGTAATACTTCTTCCTCAATTTGCATATCGTAAATGCAGAAAGCTGGAACTTCTCCACTCGCTTTAGTAGCTTGCCCGGACAGCGACTTTTCAATAGTTTCGTAACCAAATGTGCAATTACGGTTGCGATTGCAGCTGGTCGCAATTCGGCTTCCAGCAAGTACCACCTTACCCTGTGCCCCCAAGCTAAACTAAGTAGTGCTCTAAGATATTACATTACACCATTTCATCTAATAGATGCCATGAGGCGGCTATAGAAATGATCTAATCATCTCACTAACCATGAGATCATGTAATGGTTACGATACGTTGTGATAGAAATTATAACTTAGTATATATTACAATATGAAAAAAAATTACTCTCTCTCTTATAGTAGGTTTTACACACAGTTTTCATATATCTAAGAGGGTTTTAAACAGTGGTAGAGCCTGTAGCACTGCCCCAAACTTGTTTGTGAACTATATATACCCGTATCTGTGATTGTCATTTGTTTACTAAACATGACCATTATGACAAATTTCTGCAACTTCAGATTGATAATAAATAAGTAAAAGATTTTCACCTCCGCTCTCGCTCGAGGCTCACTCTGTGCAGCCAGCTCATCCTGCAGTTGGCTTGCAGTGAGTTGCAGCTTCTGCTCCTTGTAGTAACTGTTAACAACACTGTAGCGAAGCTCATGTAACACTCGCCTGGCCGTCAGCATCCTGAAAATTTTTCATAATCAGAAGATGAATTAAACTGAACTTAAGTTAAACATTTAGAATCGTTTGGCAGGATGGGGGGAGGAATAGTGGCAGGATGGGGGGAGGAATAGTGGAAGGAGAGGAGAGTGTCCTCTACACCGCAACACCACTCCCATGAAAAGGTAATACACAGTTCTTGAGAAACATTAAGAAGAAAATACCATAGACCTAACCTCAAAATGATATGATTTATTTCCCTCCAGCAGGAGCTGCGTTGCATTTCGCTCCCGCCACAGCCTTCTGGTTATTTTTTTACCGCCCATAAATACTGGAGCATCCAGAAATCCTTTCCGTTGAGTTAGGTTAGAAAGCCGTGGCGGGAGCGAAGTGCAGTACAACTCCCGCCACAAAGCTAACAGCTTAACACAAGCTAACAGAATAGAATGGAATAATTTTTTATTCAACGTAGATCACATGTGTAATTATTATTGAAAGTAATTTTTTACTTTTACTTAACCACTGGATAGAAAAATCCCTCTGTCCTGGGAAGAACCATCAAGAAACCCAGCGGCGCTTTTTTTTAAAGTAAACTTTACATGAATGGCTGTACAAAATATTTACAAAATTTATTTTAGAAACAACTTGGAAGCAACCACCTCATTCCCAGGGGTTATTATCAATCATGTATTCATTTATATTATAATAACCGTAATTATAGAGTTCTAGTTTAATAAATTATTTAAACTTGGTGATAGAGAAAGCCTGTATATTTTCTGGGACTTTATTGTAATAGCGTATACATTGCCCCAAGAATGAATTGCTTAATATGTGGACTCGAGAAACTGGTATCAATAGCTTGTGTTTACTGAGTGTATATCACTTTTTTTGCAAAAACTACTTTTGTTTTTGTAAACATACATTAAATTTTCGTAAATATACTGTGAGGCCAAAGTTAATATATTTATTTCTTAAAATTTTTTTCTAAGAGTCTCGGTTTTAGGTTGTAAATATCTCTAAAGAAGAGGGCCTTCTGGAAACCAAAAATAGTTTCTAAATCAGCCGCATTTCCCCACAGCAAAATCCCATAAGACATTATGCTATGGAAATAAGTGAAATAAACTAATCTGTCTCGGCACTAGTGAGACCTCTAATCTTTTTTACAGCAGAACAGCTGCAGAACTTAGTCTGCTTACTAGTTTGGATATGTGGGGGCCACACTAAAGCTTTGCATTGAGAGTGATGCCAAGATAAGCAGTGGATTCAACCGGGCTCAGTTTTTACCCCTTTTAAAACACATTGGTATTCAGATTTTAAATATTCGATGTTGTAAATTGAATGCATTTAGTTTTATTTCTGTTTAAATGTAGATTATTAAAGTTAAACCAATGCACTAATTTTGATATAACATTATTCACTTCGTCACATTTAAATGATTAGTTTAAGTTTAAAAATCAAGGAAGTATCATCAGCAAATTACATTATATCATGATTATCCCCTACAATGGAAGGTAAGTCATTAATATACAATAGAAATAGGAATGGGCCGAGAATTGAGCCCTGAGGGACACCCATTGGTACAGGTGACCTGGAAGAACTTTTAGGCTAACCTTCTAACCTAACACAACGGAAAGGTTTTCTAGGTGTAAAGTACATTATGATAATTTTTTATTGTTTGTAAACATAATTAATTAAAAGAGTATACCATAGATGTACAGTGCATTACCTTTTGAATGTGAGTGGTATTGTTTTAATCGGGGACAAACCTCTACCAAGTACAAAACCTTACTCTCCCAAACTCCTGCCAAGCAATTGCAAATCCAACCACATTTTAATATGTATAAAATTTACAATCTTTAAAGTGCTAGTAGTTTACTAGGAGGTGACTCCTTTTGCATAGGAGTCTTTCTGGGTAGGTACCAACCTCTAAACTAATTCTGCAGACAAATAGCAGTACTTGCACTGCTGAATTATGGTCTGAAAGGTATAGTGTCGTGAGACTTCCATTTTAGTCCTCAGAGGTGACAATGCATCTGTGGCACTTTGTTCAAGTTTACTGCAGATGTCCATTTACTGCAGCTACCACTTACCATCAGGTTGGCTGTAAGTTTCTGACACTATAAAAAAAAAGTAGTAAATTTGAATGACAATGTGTTCATATGGAGGAGAAAATAAGTTTACGGACTCCACTGTTTGTCGTAGAATTACTATAAATGTGAAGCTCCAATGGGGTCCCTATTTATCTAAATTAGCAAACAGGCTTAGTTCTGCAGCATATGCTGTAAGCAAAAATAAGAAATTACACTAATGTTGAAACAGGTAGATTGGTTTATTTTAGTTTCTTTCATAGCGACTTTCATAGCGGATGACATTGTAACTATATTAGTTGTACAAAAGACGGTTGTAAGAGCAATTTTTAATCTGTGCCAAGAAGTTGAGCATAGTTTCAATGTTACTTGATGTGCAAGCAGCGCTCTGTCTTCCTTTCTTTGTTGGTCTGAGAAAGAAAGATAAGAAAAAAGGGTACTTTGGGATTATCTCGTCGACCTCTCAATGCTATTTCAGCCGCATCTCAACCTACTGTTACTGATATTACAAGATTGGTGTAATGTTTTATTTTTAGGGAAAATTGCTTCTTGGCCACTGCAGTATTTTCATTATTTTGAGTCGTCATTGAGAAAAAGTAGTTAATTTATGGGGCAATGTTTTTTTTTATATGATTGGGTGACAAACAAATCCACCTGATGGTAAGTGGTTGCTGAGGCCCATAGATATCTACATCTATCTTCGTTTGCGAATCAAAGTGCAGATTCATTGTCACCCGTGAGGACTAAGATGGAATGCCTCTTTTTCAGTAAAAAAGGTCTCCGGTTCTATACATCACCATACAAAACAGCAGTGTTAAGCTGCTATTTTATGCTGGTATTCTGTGAGAATGTGGTCCTTCCATTATACAGTATAGTTAGTGATTTTTTTTATTATTAAGGAATAAATTGAAAATAACCTCTTGGAATGATATTATCGTTATCATGCTGGTTCTAAAATAATTAATATAATTGTAAAATATCATGGTGGGTATCAGCCCTTTGTGCAGAGCCCGCACGGGGCACTATAAAATTACAGCCTACATTCTACTTAAACGTCCAGCAGCTGCTAGTTACAGAGCTAAGTACCTTGAATCACAATTTTACATTCAATAAGTACTATGTAACAACCTATATTGAATAAAAAAATTCTATTTCACATAAGACATTGATACTTTTGATTACTTCATATACAGTTACTTCATAATACATAGAACAGTGATTCACAACCAGTAGTCTGCGGACAACCAGTAGTCTGCAAGAGCTTAAATATGGGCCGCGAAGGATTTAAATATTTTATCTACCTAATTGTAATCTATTTTAAATAACACATTTATTATTTTCTCGTCATGCGGGCAGCGCAACACCGCTTATCATGTTAATAAGTACCTACTAGCTTTTACAATAAATACTTTAAATGAATGCTTCTTTTCAGTTTATTACATAATTATGTTAAAAGTTGTGATCATAATTTATTGTTAGATTAACACAGTTTTTTCTTCCACCATGTGATCCCCACTAACTACAAAACAGTGGTCCCTGGTCAAAAAAGGTTGTGTAACCCTGTTTTAGAAATAAAAGGAGGCCTGAACCCAGAAGTGGGACCGCACTTTTGTTTATTTTTCTCGTCTCTTCTACTTGTAAATTAAACACATAAAATAGTAATTTATAACATAAATGCTAGAAACAATTTTTTTGTGTGCCCCAAAAATTTGTCTGTCTGTCTTTCAGACCCATCCTATGTAAGAGAATCCATCACTATACTTCATCTCTTGGGTGTTGTCAGAGCCAACTATGGGAAATGTCAGAAAAGTTTATGGATTCTGATAAATGCTTTTTTAATTCCCTACATTTGGATCACTTTACAGCACCCATGGTCAAGGGCAGACTGATGTGACATCCTGATATCATAGTTAACATAAAAAAATAAAGCCCACGTGAAGCACAGATGCTCCAGGAAGTCTGCAATCTGTAAACACGATCAGGATTGTCCCATCCAACCAACATCAGATTTGAATTTATATAGATCAAACTTTTAATAAATATTTAAAAGGTGAAGTTAGCATTCTATAGATAGTTTTTGAATAATAAATACCAATAATTAATTGCACTTACCGTTGATCTACTAACATAACTTCGTTTTCTTTTATATCTAATTCATTTCCAAACTCTCGACGAATTATGTTTTTAATTTTATCTATTTTTTCTCCTTCGGGTAAGTTTGGAGGTCCTTCCTTAGAGGAAATTGTAGCCTCAGGATAATCTGGATCGTGGTACTCCTCTTTACTTTCCATAGTAAACAATTAATAAAAATCATATGCCCTTTTCAATAACAAGTTTTTGCGTTCTATAGTTTATCAGCTGTATACTATTTCACGACACTGTATTCGCTCGAAAGCGGTTTTATAAAAACTTCTTTTAATAACACATAGTAGGAGTTTTTTAATTAATAAATTGCAATAGGTAACAAAACAATTAAACTTAACCAAATTTCCGCATTATGATTTTTGACCACAGAACACTAACACTAATACCCTTAGGCGGTTTTTGACATAGTAAGTAAGGCTTATAAAAAGTACTCTGTGAAGTAAGGTCAACAACCGAGTCATTGCTCATTATAGCGTAGAGATATATACTTCTAAGTCAGTGCATTATAGTGATCATAGTGATAAACAGATAAACGCAGTAATTATAATATACTCTTTTATGGTGGGATATTATTTTCATGACCAAATGCTCAGAAGAGCTAGAACCCAAAGCCGTAAAGCCAGTTTAAAAAAAATTCATGACCAAAGAGCTTATTAACCATTAACGTTCAAGAGTAAAAATAAAATAAATATTACTTTCAAATAAACCTAATAAAAGTAAAACGCCTTATTCATAGTCTATCTTACTGTAAAGTAAATTCCGTGTAATCTTGTGTAGTTCGCGAACGATGAATGAATAGGAAACGTATGACTGTTAATCGGTCTAATATCTCTTTTCTTACAGCTGCACTCGCAAGATGCCAGAGCGTGCGTGCGAACGAGAGCGAGCGAACGATAGCTTGCTACATATATATTTATCTATGGCGAACGAGAGAGTTGGTAGTAAGTCATTCGGATAAGAGCCGACGAATGCCTATATTGGTACTATCACAGAAAGTAGTCTAAATGAGACGTTACAGAAAGATAAATGTTAGGTATATCAATGCAGTAACATCCGATTTAGCTTATCACCCGAAAATATGCTAGACTGGCTGTGTTTTTAACAACAAATTATTGTACTTGTTATACTTAATAAATAGATACAAGCAAACATTTGCTAGACTTCGTTTCGGCACATACGATCGCGTAAAATGTAATAAAATTCAAGTTATGTTATAACAATTATTGACGCGTATTTTTAATGCTTTTTATTATTGTTTTAATATTGACTGCATCCTTAAATGTTTTTTATTTTCGCATATTATGGATGTGGGATTTTATTTCACTAACGTTAATTATTTTTCAACACTAATTTGCTTTAGACTTTTATGTTGCCCAAGACATTATCAAGTGTGTGTGTGTGTGTGTGTGTACGAGTGACTATACAACATTACGATTCAAGCAGATATCGAACGACTGAGAGTGATTCACTGAGATAAGCATTCCATTCAGTTTAATAGTACTGATACTGATGTCCGAATAGAGCTAATAGAACGAAATAGTTCATTGTCCGTAATGAACTAGTATGGAGCGATTTTTAAAATGACCGAGCAGGCACAAGACTAATTCCGTGATTAATAGATTAATAGCCATAGAGTAGGTACATTATTTAAACATACTATAGTCTTTGCGTTGTAGCATAGTGCGGATGACAGGTTGATAGCGTACGTTTGCAAGATATGAATTTTTTTTAACCCTGCTATGACTATTACATTAACACTAGCTTCAAAAATCTCACTTAATGTAGTTTTTATTTACTAATAAAATTATAAAAGTTTAATCTATTTCACTTGCGTGCGTAGTTACGTACTATGCCCGATAGCGGTGACTTTTATAGCCAAGAGTTTAATAGCTATCCTATAAATTAGTAGCTAACAAGTAAAACATCTTATACATGGTTCATCATGACGTACGTCCCGCCAAGGTCATGCACGACGCACGATTCAAAATGACAAGGAGTAAGCTTGACGTACGTCAATGGAGTATTTTTTTCTGCTGTCAGAGTGATTGGTGGTTACACGTTGTTTTTCTACTGAAAAAAGGTTTTTAATTCTTTTTCGATTTAAATTTACGTAAACTTTCTCAATTTTCTTTGTGTTGTATGTGTGTGTTCTGTTTTTGAGTGTTAGTTGGTGAGTAATATTTTTTTAGATAGTTGATGTAGATCTTTGTGACGACGATGGATGTTGACGGGGGAGACGCTGAACCACCGGATTTATGCGGTGATTCTAGCTCTGTCAAACGTAAACTTACGGATCCTTTACCAAGCTTCCCAAAGAAAAAAAATAGGGCATGAAAATCACCCTTCGGCCTCCTATCAAAATACATTCGTTCACCCTGAATTCCAAGAAAAAAAAGTATGTAGATAGCGATAAGGGGCCCTTCGTTATTTATTTAAGTCGCTCAGAACCTGATCCATCAGCAGGTTATTAGACCTGTGAAAATTGGCCATATCCTCTCACAAAATAAAGTAGCCAATATTGAAAAACAGGGCATCAAAATCTTAGGGCGTAATAGAGTTTCAATTGCTTTTAAAACAGCTACTGATGCTAATAATTTTATTGACTCTCAGTTTCTTTCACAATATAAACTTTCTGCTTTCATTTCAACTTTTAATGTTACTCGTATGGGTGTGATTAGGGGTATCCCAACTGACATCTCTATGGAAGAATTAGTTTGTGAATCTGAGCTTCCTCCTGGCAGAGGGGAAATCATTAAAGCCGGAAGACTTAATAGAAAGGCCAAGAAGGGCGATGAAGTAGAGTGGGTCCCTACTCAAACTGTTGTCCTAACCTTCTCTGGACAAGTGCTCCCCTCCCATATATACTGCTTTTATGCATCAATACCTGTAGAGTCTTACCTTCTCCCTACCATCCAGTGACTAAAATGCTGCCGTTTCGGTCATGTCAAAGCTCAATGACGATCCAAACCACGCTGCTTTAAATGCAGCAAAGAGCATACTGGAGAAAATTGTCCCACAGATTCCCCAACCTGTCTTTTCTGCTCTGCAAATCATTCGACCATTGAAAGAAGTTACCCTGAACACTCAAGGCAAAAAGCTATCAAGATAGTAATGTCGCAAGAGAATGTGTCGTACCTTGAGGCTTCTGCTCGTTTCCCAGCTGTCAGAAGACCTTATTCTGATGTTGCATCCTCACAAGTTCCTGCAAGCCATCTCCCCTCTACTCAGGCTCCTATAAACCTTCCTACTTTTCCATCTCCTTCCCAATCCTATAGAAAAACCATCTATAAAGCCAAATCTATAGTTATGATAAAGTTTCACATTATAACATTTCAAGTACTCCTTCCTCATCTCTCCCCAATTGACATGCTCTACAAAACAATGTAATATCCTCTAATGACAATCTTCTAGAAAATCTTGTGGCCTCCCTTATAGATATTGTTGGCAAATTTGATGATTCCCATTTACCGTTCAACGTGAAAAACAAACTAGATGTCCTCTTCTCCAGAATATATAAAGTTCGAGTCCCTAACCCTCTTCCAGTGGAATTGTCGGAGCATCAGGAATAAGAAACCTGATATAATTCACTTAATTAACTCTTATAATCCTTCAATACTTGCAATATCGGAAACCTGGCTTAAGCCAGGGTCCTCATTTAGAATCTCAGGCTTCTCCTGTTATCGTAGTGATAGGAGTGATGGCTATGGCGGTGCTCTGATTCTACTAAACAGGACCATTCCTTTATCACCTATCCAGCTTTCTCCTATACTAGGCATATTAATGCAGTAGCTATTAAGGCTTTCGACATCACAATTCCATCCATCTACATTCCAGCACCCACTCCTTCTTTCCAGAACTCAATTTAATCCTATGAAGCATCTCCCCACCTTACATTGTTCTAGGAGACTTCAACAGCCATCATGTTATGTGGGGTTCCCATAAATCTGTCTCTTTTTCTTATTTGCTACTTGATGTCTTGATGGTTCTCCCACCAGAATGTCCCTTCGCAGAATACTAGACCCGCAGTAGACTTGTCATTGTGCTCTCCAATCTTGGCTGCTAGCATATCATGGAAAACTCTTCGTTCCTCTTTTGGTAGTGATCACTTTCCCATCACCTTAAATCTAAGTAATAGATGTATCCCTACTCGAAGTATATCTCACCTTTTCAAATTCAACCTGTCTGAAGCTGATTGGGATGTATGTTCCTCAGACTCAGAGCTTCATATCAATAACCTTCCCCCAGTTTCTTTAGATAACCTTCAGAGTGTCTACTCCCAATTTATAGCCCTTCTCAATAATATAGCCTGCAAAATTTTCCCTTTGAAGAATTCCTCCACAAAAAAAAAATTTCTTCACCTCCATGGTGGGATGCAGACTGCTCCTCAATTATTAGAAAACGAAAGGCGGCACAAAGGCTATATTCCTCTAATATGACCATGGAAAATTTTCCAGATTATCAAAAAATAGCTGCTCAGACCAAAAAACTTCTTTCCGAAAAGAAAAAAAGGAATGGTTTTCATTCTGTGAGAGCCTATCTCCCCGATCACCTTCTTCTCTTGTTTGGAAAAGTATCAGGCGCTTCCGTGGTGCTTTAAATTATAGTAATCCCCCTTGTGCAGACCCTTACCACTGACTAGACGACTTCAGTAACAGACTGGCTCCCTCCTGGGTTCCATTGGAAGAAGAGATATTTCCTAACTCTAAATCATTCCCTCCTCATTCATCTAACTCTCTTACCTTAATGAAATATTTTCAGTAGCTGAACTGCAGTAAGTACTTAGGCACTTAAAGGATTCCACTCCTGGCGTTGATGGTATCCCCTACTCATTTCTTGTTAATATGGGTACACTCTGTACAATTGCTATAACAAAGGGCTGAAAATTGTCTTGGCTTGGATCCCTAGCCACTGCGGGATTCAGCGTAATGAAATTGCGGATCATTTAGCTAAAGAAACCACCAAATCTGGCTCCCTCCCTAAACATTGCCTCTATGCATATTACCTCCTACCAAAGGCTGGATCCAGCCTTCTGTCTACATGGCAAAGTATCTGGCATAAGTCTAAACTTTTAAAATGTAAACACTATTCCAAAGTCTAAATTAATATCCCATCAAAACCCTGGTTCTTTCAATGTCTCTACTGTTTG